AAGGAACTGGACTGGACCGTAGCACTGTGGTTAATTGAGGAATCAGGAGTAACTGAAAGGTTAAATATGATTCGAGTTGACTTGATCCACAAGTAATTAATCCAGTTAGAGCAATAAAAATTTAAGGGTTTAGGGAAGCAGCTATCATTACATGGTTGGCAGAACATCACTTCATGGTTGTTTGACCCGGGTTTGTGTTATACCAGCCTTCCTCCCACACCTCAACCATACCTCATCAAATAATTTTGTCATTACATTTCACAACCCTGTATCAATTGTCAAACTATTTATCTGGTTGAATACTACTAGACCTCATTGTTCATTCAATGGGAAAGAGCGGGATAACAATCACAGTAAAATCTGGTCTACCATTAAGAAATTAAACCGCGCCCAAATTATTGCTCCACTCAAAGGAAAATAAACTAATTCGCCATAGCCATACCTAGATTTATGGATAGGCAACCCTTTATGTACTGTTTCATGAAGAGCGAATGGAAGTAGACTGAAAATGGTATCAGGTAAATTCACCACCACAACAAACTCGGAAATCACTCGGCGAATATCAGTCTGGTTTCGCTGTTCGCAAACTGATCATAATCTTCATGATATCAACATTTTTTATTTCGGTTAACGTTCCGTATAAGAAACGCTATACCTAACTTCTGAGTCCCTTTCCCTTTCGCCACCGGTGGCGATTTCACTTTCAGTGGCGGCGAATTTTGTGTTGGTGAGTTTGTTGTGGTGGGGAAGTGACCATAAACCTTAAGAATTAATTTGTAGCATTCGTACACCCTCTCTCTGCCCTACTCGTCGTTTTAATTCCCTCGATAGACCTCTTTAGCTTGTTTTTGTTTACCCAGGTCAAGTCTCAAGGGAGAACACAGCTTTAGCTTTTGTAAATCATGTGTTCAAATGAACGTGATTAAGAGGAAATTTGAAAATAAAAATGCTATCGGGATATTATATCGTTCCTTTTTACCTGTCTATGTATTAAAAATGCTATAAAGCTGGATTGGTTAAACAACTCATTCAAGTTAAAGGGGTCTATCGCTTTTTTGAAAATTTTTTTGGAAATTTACTTTCGTGGAGCAGGGGCGCTGTTTAACCTTATTTTGCACAATAAGGCGAGAGGTTGCCATTAATTTGTTTCGAAAGTTTGTCATCTAACTCCCTTCCATTCCTAAACAAAGCCATAGTCCCAAAGGTAATGTGTTGATTTTTCATTGTTGTTTTTTTTTAAATCCCAGTTCTGTGGGCGTAATGAAGCTTGGAGTTACGGGGAAATATCGCCAAAACAAGAATTGCAACATAATCATGTTAAAAGGAACTTGAAGTAAACACATCAGATACATCTATGAGGTGAATTTGAAAACAGAAACTCGACTTTTTGGGTTACCTTAATAGACCTAAATAAATCATTTTCTTAACAATGTAAGGAACTTGAATGACTTTCCCTCAACAAGAAACTAATACAATTTTGTGATATCAGTCAATGCGCACTGAAGGATTTATTATTCCACTGGAGAACAAATTAAAGAGGCTTTGCCTTGCAAATTGGGATAAAAAGCTGAGTGAATTACCTTAAACAACGTGTCAATAGCAGGTTTTCCAGGGCGGCAATTTTTTTTACGGAGAAGAAGGTTGCTACTGTATTTTCTTACCGGAAATATCACCAGAGGATAAGTTCAGAACATACTACGGACACCAATGTGGTTAGCCCTCAGAAATTTAGAAATTATCCAGTGGATATTTTCCAGTATGAACTGAAGTAAATTCTGGACCTTTAATGTCGAAAACTAACCTGTTTTACTTTGTTCTTCGGTAATCCAGAGAAGGAGAGAGAGAGAGAAAGCTGTTCAGGTTTTTCCAAATAAATTCGGTTGGAATAAAAGCTGAGACGACGACTTTCTTACGCATCTTTCTGGGCTACGTGTTGATTATTCAGCCGTTTGTGATAATTTTATGGCAGGCCAATCACTTGTTCCCTATGGAATTACGTTCCTTTTTCTATTGCCTTGTTCCCTGAGCTGCACGAGTTTTTCCGTGCATTTTTCCGCAGAAATCAATCAATTAAGGCCCTGACACACTAATACGTATTTAAAAGTCTCCCTTTCATATCAGCGAATACTAAGCAAAATATGTCTGCCCATACCTTTGTTTTCGAAGCAGCGTCTTCACTTGTCCACGCTAAAACGGTCGACAACATTGAAACGAGTGGTACCTGGAATTGAAACAAGACCAATCTTTTCCTGATCCTTATCCTTCGTGTTCTGTTCCATCACTCTTGTCCTTTAGTTGTGGCTCTCGAAGACAAGACCTTATCCAGCATTTTAACCATAACATTATTCGAGAAAAAGATTCAAGGGAAAACAAAAATATCTAGGACATTGCAAACATATGCAAATACAGCTCGAACCGAGAATTCCCGGCATGCCCGACGGGCACGGGAGTAATGCAAAGCGTGACAAAACAGTTAGCCTTAAGTTGGCTTGCGAGTAGTTATTACAAATTACATGGTTGTTCGCAAGATGTTCCGTTTAGACTGGAACGGATAATATCTATCAAATTTTTCGTCACCATTCTAGAAGCTTTTGTCTTCACCTGTGCACACTAAAATGGAGCGTTTTAAAAACGATGCGTGTTGAAAAACTCCAGTTTTGAAACTGTCCGGAAAGTCTCCAATTTCATAACGTTTTCCGGCATTTCAGGGTGAATGACCGGCGAAAGTACAACAAAAAGTAAGTGTTTTCAGACGAAAACGCCGGACTGTGGCTCGGGCCTCCAAAGTCACAAAAATAAACCATCTTGGGGGCTGGTAGTCCTTTTGTGGAAATTAGAGAGAGCAAGATGCATAAAGGCGGCTTGAGGAGTAACTGGTTCATTTCACTGTGTAGCAACGACATTCATTCTTTTGAGGCTTTGATAGCTCACATGTCACGACTTTCTTTGTTATTGATCATAACACACGAGGTAATCCCAACTCAATTCAGGTGCTCGCGGTTCTCTAAGTTTTAGAATAACATTGCGATCTCACTTGTCCGATTACATTAAGTAGAGTTGCCAAATCAATAAACGCTTACAAAAATTAACAGCAAAAGTGCTTTTATATAAATGACTTAGAACAATTATTTAATAGAATTTTTACCCTACTTTCAAAACGATAGCCGAAATATAGAGAAAGGAATTGTATAATAGAAGTTCATGCTGGCAGAGGAGCTCAATTCTCGACGCTTTGCGATTGATTAAGTACGGTAATAACAGGTATTAATAATACTAAAACAGTGAGTAGCGTTAAAGGAAAACTCTGAATAGATTCTCAAACTTCGAATATCCTTTGTTAATCACTTCCACCGTGAACGCGCGCGGGGTTTGCGCTGGAAAATCTTGTAATTGGCCGTTTTCACACTAGAGACGGATAATCCGTCTCGACGGATGGCCGTTTTCACACTAGGGACGGATAATCCGTCTGAGACGGATTATCCGTCTTAGTAGGGACTTCACGAACCAGAACGCGACTCAGTTTGAAAACATCGAAACCGAGAAGAGCCAGGGGCGAGAACGCCGTCACGAGCGCGGGAAAAACAAAGTTACGGATGCGAACGCAACGACAGAGACAGAGCTGTGCAAATCCTTTAAACTCCGCTAAACATATTTTCGTTTTATAGCTGCTGTTATACGTCATAAATGGCAACATTCAGACAGGCAAGGGAAGCTTTATTGTTTGCCTATCAAGATGGAAGCATCGATGATACTGAGTTTGCCCTGTTGTACGATTTTAATTCTTCTGAAAATCTCGAATTTCCTTATTGGAAGTATGGTCTCTTCGATCTTGATTCTATAACAGAGGATAAGTGTAATACTGAGTTTCGGTTTTTCAAGAACGATATTTATTTACTCGGTGAAGTTCTTGATATTCCAGACATAATGAACTCAGAAAAACAGTTTTGCCTTTAAGGTAGCAAAACAAAATTTAATTCTAGTTGAAACTCAGTAGAAACTACTTCGCTTCTTTGCGACGAACCCTTTCTTGTTTTGAACGGATTCTCGGAAACAACCTCTGCATAACAGGACATCATGCTCGCTTGTCCAGTACATCACACTACTGCGTGAAAAAAGAACAGTCTGGTTTAGTTTGTTTTCAATGAAAAACATAAACATAAAGTTTAAACTCACTTTCATCGTATAGTCAAGCAGGACAGGAAATTGAATCTTCTAATAAACTAAATTGGACTTACTTGCCAGTTTTCGACTTTGGTATCGAACTCGGCGGGTCTGCGTGTTGTCCATTCAACATAGCTGTAACCGATTGACCTGCAGTAAAAGGCAAATTAAAATGTTTGTTTGGTATTTTTACAATAAACAACACTTTCGTGGACTCAGAAAAACAGTTTTGCCTATAAGGTAGCAAAAGGAAAACTTAATTCCAGTTGAAATTCAATAGAAACTACTCACGTTTTCTGGAAACGCTGCAAGTGCCAACCTCGTCTTCTGAACGTGAAGAAGACGCGTTGCAGTTTAGCGCCAGGCATGCGCAGTGAAGCACTTTGTGAGCAAATTACTTCGGGTAACGTTTCAGGCTTCGTCGCGTTCTGGTTCGTTAAGTCCTTAGTGTGAAAACGGGAAGGTGTTCATTTTGGACGGATAATCCGTCTAATTTTATCCGTCTGATTATCCGTCTATATAGACGGAATATCCGACTATATAGAACACCGTCCCGTTTTCACACTAAGACGGATAATCCGTCTCAGACGGATTATCCGTCTCTAGTGTGAAAACGGCTGTCAAATTATTTGCTTGTTTTGAGAAGAGAAACTATGGTTAGTTGAATAACTTGGTTTGCTATCTAAATAGTGTTAAAACGACTTGTACTCAGAATGTGATGCATTTCCAGTTAGAATAGCAGTCAACAGTTGTTTAGTATATACTAAAACAATGAGATACTATAGCACAGAATGCTGATTCAACTCATTTATTCGTGAGACAATATTAGTGAACAACAGAGTTAGATAAATCCATTGGGACATCATAACTTAACCCGTATGATACGGTTGTATACAAATGTTGTATCAGTCCGCAAACCTCCCAAAGCTATTTTTAATAATTTCCCTTAATTCGTCTGAATACAAGGAAACATAGGTTTTTGGTTCTAAACCAACGTTAAGAATTTTTAAATAATCATAGTGACGATAAAGCCCTAACGAAAACTTTACGAGAAACTCTATCGGCCAAGAACCATTATAGCCACTCAGCTGGTGTACAGTCCATCCCATTCTCTCCCGTACAAAGGTTGGATACACATGGTAAAACATCATCAATTCTGGATACTTGGAATAATGCAGTAAATAAGCCTGATACGCTAACTCAAAATCGAAGCAAATGTTGTTCACATACCACTGTGGGGTGCTGTTTTCATATAGCTGAATAAGCTGCTTGGACTTTCTCTCATCCAAGAAAAATGGTCGATATTTGTCAAAGATCTTTTTATAACATGCAAAGTGCTCGAATACTTCCTTATGCCAAATTCTCATTAAGTAGAAGAAAGAAAGCCTTGCATTGTTTAAATTTAAATCTAGTGGAGCCTTGATGGAAACTCTCCTCGCAAATGAAGAAAACGCTAACCACAAAAACCGTATTTCACGCATATGTTTCTGACAAAGTTCTAAGTCTTTCAAAGCACGCCTTACTTTATAACAGACAAAATCATGATGACCTTTGCAACGGGGAAGACTTTGCAATAGCTCTTTGGACAAGTTCAAAGTCAACGAGGCGCTACCTATCTGCAAGTGGTGATTTTCTAAGTTGTTTATCTGGCAATGCATAGAACTAGTCGGCCAATGCCCATAAGTAGATAAAAGTCTAACAACAAAACCACCAATGTCTGGCCTTAAATTAAACTGCAGATCGTTTGGAATCCAGCCATGCAACCTTTTATAAATTACATTATACTCAGTTTCCCTGCTGGGATATTTTAGTTGACCTCCCTGATTTTCAATAAACTGTTCAACTTCAAACCATGAGTTATAGTGACCCTTTCCAGTCAGGTTACTGAACAACTTAGCCAAATACATCGGAGTAATTCCATCCTTGTTAGGACAATCTACATGTAGCTTATGGAGCATCCTATCTTTGAAGATCCTTTTAATAAATTTTATCAGGCCGCGGGAAGCTGCCAAATGGTATAGAGTTAGTTCAGCTTTCCTGGAATCACACATGATTTGGAAACCACTCTTCATTTTATAGTGGAGGAGCTCTAAAGCCACGTCAGAAGCGTCATCCATCCAGTGATGACGATCGCTCCTAAACAATGACCATACATTATTTCCTCCCTGAAGTATGGCCAGTGTCAAGGCGTCATGCCCCTGTGGACTTCGCAAGGACACGTTTGCACCATGCTTTATGAGGTTGCGAACAGCGATTAAGTTTGCTCCTTGTGCGGCTCTTTGCAAAGGTGTAAATCCTTCAGCATCCAAACAGGAATCGATCACTTTGTACTTTAAAGGATGATTTTCAATAGCTGTTACTAAAGGACTCTTTTTTGATGAGCATTTGCGATTGTCGCACGAGATTTGTTGAAAGAAATTATAACCTTCTAGTTTCGGAGAGTGATAACACATTAGATGAAATACAGATGAGTCCAATGGCTTTCCACATTCAATCTTTACTGGACCATTAAAAAACACTGCCTTTGCTATCGGCCAATCTCCACCATTTTGTAAAAAGGCTACGAGAGGTGTTCTTTCCAACTTGTCTTTACAATTCTTGTTAGCTCCCTTCATTAGAAGCAGCTTTGCGATGTATGGCTGGTTATTTAGAACAGCCCGGTGTAATAGGCTTTCACCAGAACGATTACACTTTGTAAATGAAACACCGGATGAGAGAAGAAGGTATACGACCATGTCATGATCCCGCAAATACCCTTTCATTTCGTCAAAGCTTTTTCCCAAAAGGATAAAGTGCAGGTGCTCTGGTAAGACCGTGGCCTTTTCGACTGCTAATTCTAAAGGAGTTTTCCCAGTCTTGTCACGTATTTCAAGCTTTGCCTTTCTCTGCAAAAGAACGTTGACTGCGTCAGCCAAACCGTTTTCAGCTGCCAGATGTAAGGCTGTGCGACCATTTAAATCAACTGCATTAATATCAGCACCATGTAAGATCAAACAGAGTAAAGCATCTAACCACGGATAAAGAAGTGTGTTACTCCAGTGGTAGTTTTCTTTAAAAAACTTAGCAAGTTTCCCTCGTCTGTCAACTGATACCAATGGACTAGGGTACGATTCGCTCTTACTACTCACATTCAGGAGGAATTTCTCGTCAAGATGACTTGAATTTGTTGTACGAATTGTATAATGTAATGGTGTGAAAGCACTTTCGTCAACTTCATCAAGGCTTGCTCCATGATAAAGTAAGAATCTAATTGCCTTAACAGCACCACATGCTGCAGCGCTATGAAGAGGTGTCGATCGATTAAACGTTCTACCTAATACCTGTGCACCGCGATTTAAAAGTAGAAGTATCATTTCCAAATGATTGTGGCAAGCAGCTACATGAAGTGGCGTTGCGCCAGAGCAGTCCTGAGCCCCAACGGCTGCCCCAGCTTTCAAAAGATTAAGCGCAATTTTCCAGTGCCCATAACGCGCAGCGAGATGAAGAGGAGTGTAACCACAGTGGCAAACATCTCCGTGATAGTCAATAGACTCTTCACAAGTGAACAACAAATCAGGCATGGCATCATCTTGCTGTCGTATATTTTGCCAATGATCACATGTTGAACGTACCTTTGATGCATCTTTTTTGAGCAAAAACTGTACCATTTCAGAGTTATTTGTTCGAACGGCTTCGTGCATTGGTGTCCTTCCTGAGTAGTCATGACATGCCAACGTCCGCGTGTCTCTTGAAACGAGCTCTTTAACTATGCTATTATGTCCTGACGAAACTGCGGCGTGGAGTGCAGTCTCACAAAAAATTAAATGTTTGTCGTCGAACAGCTCCCCAAAATATGCTCCTTTTGAGATTTTATCACGATCAAAACACTCATCATCTAAACCGTTAACACCTTGTGTCTCATACTGTGGTTTGCAGTGACTTTTAACAGGAACTCTAACATGGTGTCGCTTAGTTCTGCTTTGTGCACGGTGCTTCGTTTTTAGCCAGTAGAGCGACCCATCGCATCTCATGCATTTATCCTCAACACCAATATCTAAAAGGTATTTTACTACCTTTAGCCTGTTGTTTACAGCTGCATGATGTAAAGCGATTTGATCTGCAACCCCGCCGGATTTGTACAGAGCTTCAACGACTTCAAAATGCCCATTCTCAGCAGCAACTTGGAGTGCTGTTAGGTTGGCATCACTAACTGCTGAAATGAATGCACCATTGTCGAGTAGGAACTTAACTTTCAAGTGGCCTCTTTGAGCTGCGGCATGAAGCATTGTGGCTCCTCGGAATTTTGATTTTATTTCATGCAGGTTTGAGGATAAATCTTTGTCGTGTATCTCAGATTTATCTTCTCTATTCGTTGTATAGCTTAACACAATTGACTTTGTTTTACGATTCACTTTAGCTCCCTTCTTCGTTAATAAAGCCAGATTGTTTACCAGTCCGTGTTCTGCCGCCAAAAATGCAGGTGTCACTCCATAACTGTCAGTGCAGTCAATGCAGCTAAAATGGTGTAACAACAGCTCTAAAACGTCTGTACTATTAATAGTAGCTGCAAGGTGTAGTAGTGTTTTATTACTTTCAGGATCTGACGAATTGACAACCTGAGAAGGGAAACTAAGAAATTCTTTAACATACTCCTCCTTCCAACCACCGTAGGCTATGTGCCGTGCCAAAGTAAGTATGTGTTTTGGCAGCGAAAAGTTATCGCCATCAGTAATAAGTCGAAAGTAGTAATCGCAAAACACTTCGTGACCTCTCTTTTTGCTGACATAAAATAGGCCATGTTTATTTCTTTCGCTTGTGAGCCACTCGGTTAAAGACAAGTGATACAGTGTCAGGGTTTCATTTTCTCCATATCTTATGAAATGACCAAGTTCTTTTATTGTTTCACGAAAAGCATAGCCTTCTAAATTTTTTTCGTTCGTTTTGAGAACGTCAAAAATGTCGCGTTCCGTCATTGGATGGAACGTTGCCACTAATATTTCTAAAACTCGTTGGGCCGGTTTGAACAGTTCTCGTCCATCGTACAACCGTTGGAAAAAACTGTGGTACAATTCCCCAAGATTTTCAGGCAGTGCATAGGGATCACTATTAGTGACTTTTGAGGATTCCCAGTGATGAATCATCTCTTTCACAAACAGAAAGTTCCCCTGACTTTTGCTTACAAGAGCAGAAATAAGCTTTTCTGCGGTTTCAATGCTACTGTCTCCAAACCAAGACCTAATTTTGTAAAGAAGTGGACCTTGTCGATATAACTTCATAGTTAAAAACAGTTCAATATCTTCCATGTTTCGGGGATCTCCAGGGTTAAAGTTCAGTTTTGTGATGGCATCCGAATTAAAGGAAACACGCGATTCGTTACGGCATGTCATCACAAGCTTCAGCCAAAATGGAAACCGAGGAGGCTTATTGTTGAGCAAATAAACAATGCTGTGACTTGTTTCTGTTTGAGCGAGACATTCATCCAGTGCGTCTACGACGATAAACCATTTCTCCTTTGGTATATTTTTCAGGCTTTTTAAGGGTGACAAGACTGCTTGTTCGAAGCATCCTACAGGATCTTGATTGGTTATACAGTCAGTTTGTAGTGAGCGTAGAATGTACGAACTGTTTGAGACAAGGATACCGTATTCTGGGATTCTCTGTGCTATCATCCCTGCTAAATTACGAACAAACTTGCCTGCACTTTGTGTATTCTTGTCAGAATGTTTACACAGATGATATCCCAATATGTGGTCATGAATGGCACGACTTGATGTACGGGAGCAAACTAATTGAGCAGATACGGCAGACTTTCCAGTTCCTGGATCCCCGATGATCAGAACTCCAGTTATACCATTTCCTTGGAACGGATGATCGAGGACAGATTCCACCTCTCGATAAAGCCAACTACGACCGATGAAGTCCTGTTTTGCACTTTTTAAGTAGTCATACCAGCCAAACTCTCTTGTTTCAAATGGAACACTAAGATCTTCTGTGGGACAACCTGCAAAAAAAATGACTTTATTTATCATCTTTTTAAGAGGAGTGGCAGAGTTGGCAGTAGAGGTTCCAGCGGAAGGGTCTTGGATCAGTACGCCCCTACGTAGGTTGCCTTCCCTTCATCAGACCTGAGGGTTTTTGTTTTTAATACTGATCTGACATTAGAGTTATTCTATATGACCACTTATCCTAAGCCTCTTTTGGCTCTATTGTAAGAAAAGAAAGCATACTGTGTTTTCTGAAACACTTGTCTTTGTAACCTAAAACAATTACGTTTCTAAATAGTTTAAGAAACTTATGAGCTATTTATGACGACATAAAAGGGCCGTAAGACCGAACGTAAGCCAGAGAAGGAGCCTAAATCTGTATAAGTATCACAAGCTATTGATCTCAATATTTGCCATTCAGGTCCAAAAAGAGGGTTGCTGCGGCTAAAACCAACTCGCACAGCCTAAATATTTTCATATTCTCTTGGTAAGAATTATCAAAAATACTTGCCGTCTCTGATAAAAGTGTCATCATCCAGCATGACAAAGAGGTTCAAACAGAGAGCCATGAAAAGCCAAATCAGCAAGGCTTGTCTGATCCGTTTGAGATTCCTGGCCAGGCTAATGAAAAGGCTTTCCAAACTTTTCAGTATGAAGAGAATAAGTATCGAAAAGCCGTTCCTTTTCTCCAGGTCTTCCAATCTTTTTTCTAATAACAACACTAGTTGTTTCATTTGGTCCAACTGCTCCTGGCTGGTTTGGGATTGTTGCGTTAAGTGTGCAATCTCGTTTTTCAGCACTTTAATAAGCTCTGCTACTACCTGAGCGTCGAAAATGTGCGAGTCTGAAACATTTTTAAGGTTTTCGATTTCTTTGAGTGCATTCTGTGCGTCTGGATCTGTGGCAAATTCAGAACTCTTCAGTAACTTTTCAATGGAGTCAAAAGCGACGGTCTTCTCTGCATTTTGTAACTCAAGTCTCGGTACATGCACCCATCTGTCGTTTCGATTGTCGCGGACATCTTTAATCAAAGCAAGAGGAACGGTGAAGTGATTGCACCAGTACACTAGGTTCAAAATACTAGTGATGTCCATGTCATCTGCACTCTTGATATCAACATGTCCACCCAGATCGGGAAGGTAAAGTTTAGCTATTTCCCACGGACCAAGAGCTGGGTCCATCCATCTCGCTGGATCACTTTGCCTCCAGTTTGGTTTGTTTGTATGGTGATAAGCTTCAAGTATTTTTGCCCATTGGCATGTGGTCCTATCGTGGACCTCATTTGGCCTTCTTCTCGGGACACGGACACATGTACAGGGTCCAAGAACTCTTGCCGTTAAAATCCTATGGAAAGCCTCCATCTGTCGTGTAATAAATGGACGAAGTCCCTGGCAAAGGACCGTCGTCAAAGGATGACCAAGAGCGAGCTAGTCTCTGTACTCTGGTTTAACGAGTTGTCCTGCCGTTCCTGGTGTGCTTGAGGACGCCATAATTAAACGTATTGGGCTGTAAAAAGAAAAACAACACGAAACATCATGCTACAACGAGATTTTACTTTTTTCCGTCATGCATATAATTATTTCATGCCTATTTACCTTTACCATGAATACGTTTTTTAAACAGTTTTTTCTAACTTAAATTTAAATTTTGGGCTTAAAGTTAATTTCAAAGGCTAAGCGAAGTTCTTGGCCAACCCTCAATCGCTTTAGCCGAAAAGAGCATCGTTAATCGTCTCTTAGGCCCAGCTCAAATGTCGAATTTAACATGCGACGCACTTAAATCCAGCTGTACTGGTGCTCTGTTAACCATGCAATATCATATTCTTAGGACTTTGGATCAAAAGGGAAGCGATGCAGTGAGGGTGTTTGCAATGGATTTTAGTAAGGCCTTCGACACTGTCAAACATGATCTTTTATTTGTAAACTGAAACTCTTACCACTTAATCCGTATATTTTGAATTGGTATTTAAGCTTTCTTACTGATAGGAGACAACGGGTTGTCTGCAATGGCATTGCTTGTGATTGGATCTGCGTGAACGAAGGCACTACACAAGGAAGCGTCAGTGGCCCCTATTTATTTAATATATTCATGAATGATCTGCAAACAGATCCGGACTCTGACTCCTTGTTGTTCAAGTATGCAGATGACTCCACTCTAATCATTCCNCAGTCAAACAAGTAAATTGAACGCATCCGATTTCGTTGAAGTTGATGATGAAAATGATGGTTCGAAAATATTTCCTTCCATAGACTTGAACGGGCAGAGTGAAATAACTGATTTAGACTAAAACTAATTTGCCGCAAGAGATATATTATACATTGAACAACGAGAACTTAGAAGTGTAATCAAACGAGTCACATGATGATGAAGGGTTAAATCAAGAGTAACGCATTTGCGTGAAGAGTCACGCAATTATTCAGCGCTCTGGTTCCGCCTAAAAGACGTACGGAAAATCAGTATATGGTTCATCTCCACCAGAACTTACTACCATACAATGCTTCCTGGATCGTTGTTACAAACGTAGATACACGTCCTCTCCAGTTTCTATCATAAATTGCTTAGATAAGTCTATTGCACCACTCCCTTCCCAGGATTAATTCTGCTACCCGTAGGCTTAGGCAAGTTAAGCCAATATATCCACTTTGCAATACTGAGCGTTTTAAAAATTCTTTTATTAATAGACTTAGTTTTAAGCATAACTTAGCTGTAAGTAACTAATACGTATTTTAACCCATTACACTTTATATGTAACACTTGATATGTATTTTATCAGTGAAATAAAGACTATTCACTACTATTTACTTTTTATTTTAGTCAACTAAAATAGTTAAATACGCCATTTGATTCAAACGTCGCATTTAACTCCGTCGAATTTGACTCTGTTCGCTGTCAATATTCCCGGGTGCACCACTTGTTTGCTAGACCATGACGAAGACGTCTATTGAGCGTTTGCTTAATTAATTAACTAATGCTTTTGTTTTGCTGTTTGTTTTTGCTTCGTCATCTTGGCTTTTCGTCATGATACTCTGACTTGACTCACGTTCCATCATTTCATTGAAACACGACTCGCAATATAAAACAGATTTTCCTACTTTCCACCCAGGAGTGCCCTCTTCGTTTTCAAAAACCGAACACCTTATACAAAAGTAATTACCGCACGTCAAACAACTATATATTGTCTTTGCAAAGCAAGAACTACGAATTCTTTTTTCTCCCACCATTTCTTTGTGCTGTTTTGGCTTTTTCGCGCATGACATTTTCAGAATTCCTGGCGAGTTGTGGGTAATAAATGAATCACAATAATTTCCTATAATTCATGCATTAAGTTCGGCACATGTGAGATGCGATGTTTGAATTAAAGTCGAACCTAAGTTGAATCTTCGACTGTTTCAGTCGCAGATACGGTGAGAGTCGCATTTAATTTAAAACAGTCAAATTTAATTGATTCAAACGTCGCACTTCACATGCATTTGAGGTCCAGTTCAAACGTCGAATTTCACATGTGCCGAACTTAACTCCTATTTTAGTCAACTAAAACAGTTAAAATGGCCACCGTAACGATTACAAAAGCTGACGTTTCGAGCGTTAGCCCATCGTCGGAGCGAATGTCCGTAACGATTACAAAAGCTGACGTTTCGAGCGATAGCCATTCGTCGGAGCGAATATATCAACTTTGTTGATATATCCAAATTATTTCGTTTACCCCCACCGACGCAGCCCAAACAATTTCTTTCGAAACCATCAGCCTTTAAAATAGTTAAATATGGCATTTTGATTCAAACGTCGAATTTAACCCAGTCGAATTTAACTCTGTTCGCTGTCGATATTCCCAGGCGCACTACTTATTGGCTAGACGAAGACGTTTATTGAGCGTTTGCCTAATTGCTTCACTGATGCTCTTGTTTTGCTGTTTGTTTTTGCTTCTTCATCTTGGCTTTTCGTCGTGATACTTTCACTTGATTCACGTTCCATCATTTCATTGAAACACGACCCACAATATCATTGCCACAGAGTTTCCTACTTTCCACCCAGGAGTACCCTCTTCGTTTTCAAAAACCGAACACCTCATACAAAAGTAATTACCGCACATCTAACAACCGTATTTTGTCTTTTCAAAGCAAGAGCTACAAATTCCTTCGTCTCCCATCATTTTTTGTGCTGTTTTGGCTTTTTCGCGCACGGCATTCACAGAATTCCTGGCGATTTGTGGGTAATAAATGAATTATAATAATTTCCTGTAATTCATGCATTAAGTTCGGCACATGTGAGATGCGACGTTTGAATCAAAAGTCGAACCTAAGTCGAATCTTCGACTGTTTCAGTCGCAGATACGGCAAAAGTCGCATTTAATTTAAAACAGTCGAATTTAATTGATTCAAACGTCTCACTTCACATGCATTTAACTCTCAGATTAAGTTCGGCACATGTGAAATTCGACGTTTGAACCGGGCCTTAGCTCGTCAAGCAACCAAAAAAAACCGCTAAATCGTTACATTACGAGTCTAATTTACAGACTTGTCATCAACGGTGCCTATATATGGAAGTCAACACTTATGCCCAATAAAAATTTGCTTTGTTAAGTGCTCAATCATATATTCGGGTTTTATATATCCCTTTAGTTTCGTTGGCTTGATTAACCCTTTTTCTGTTGGAGACTACTTTGAAATATAACTTCTCCACGCTTGGTAAATCATTTAATTGTTCAAGAAGTGATAAGGATTGTTTTTTGTGTTTAGCATGTTTAGTGAAAGAAACCAAAATAGTACTTGCCAAAAAACTACACATTCTTTGCCTTAAGCTAATCCGAAGGCTTGGCATCGGTGAGCACCCATTGCTCAGCAATCCATTCGCTTTGCACGTCTGCAGCAGTATTTCCTAATTACTTACAATTAAAGCATCAAATAATATTTCATTAGCTACCTTGTAGACAAATGAAAGCCTTTGTGGATATTTTACAGGTGTTTCCGTCACCTGGTTAAACCCACTAGTTCATAGTTTCCCGGAAATTGTCTGACATTTTTAAGAACTACAAATTTCGAGTCGCAGACTTCTACATATTATATGGATAATGTTAACATCACCGCATTTATTAACAGCTTGAAACTTTTTAAAGACGATGAAAGGGGAAGAAAAGCAACCTAAATTTAGAATAATACAATACATGTAGGGATGATACCTTGGGTCTGAAGTACAACACGATGAGAGCCAGATTTCTCGGGGTGAAGACTGATCGGGACTTGGAAAATTCGGACTGAAACTGCCTTGGGGTCGAAAGCGGAAACGATATGCAAAATTTTCGCGTTTGATAGCAGTCGATAATGGCAGGGAGAATATAAAATTAGATGGCGAGATATTCTCGCACCCAGATCCCCACGTAAGGAAAATCGCGTTACCTTTTTGATCTAATTCAACCATTTTAGTAAACAAAAATGATAAAAAAAAATATATTTATCTCACACTCGAGTCACCACATGGCAGATCTCGTAAATTTGTACCAAGATGACTCATTTTTAAAACGCACAAGGAATAACTCCATAGTCAGATAAGTGTGTAAAATGGTTCGCTATTAGTGACGACACAATTCCTTCAAGTCGGTGCACTATGGAATAAGTTTGACGAAAAGCAGAGGTTGTTCTGAATAACAAAATATTCAGCGGACCCCAAAGTCGTATTTCACACAGTCAATCCCGTGAGTTCAAGTATGTAATCATCTTATTACTCGTTGTTCGGTTAATAGTTAGGTCGTTAGGGGCTTAAAACTCTCGCTATTTTGTAAAAGTTCCCTATGAAGAGCTTCCTGGTGCTCATCTCTAGTTTTGGATTGAGAAATGCAACTGGCTTGAATAAAGATCTATCGATCAGTCGCCCAGTGTTAACAACTAACCCACTGGCCCATCTCTTTCACGCGTTAGAGCGTTATATTTCCCTGAGACATGAAAACCAAACTTGCCGGTAATTTCAGAACTCTGCTTTCATTGGGACTTTATTTAAACTAAAGTGCACTTTTTATCGTGTTCATAGGGAGGAACTAACATTATTTTGCAGAGTTATCTTATAAACAACTGACCAGCTAAGGAAAAACTGTGAAAGGGTCAGAAAAAACCACGGCGGAGTTTTTCTCGGCTTTCTCTCCACACATATCGTGCATTCCAAGCCAACCGCTTAATTCCCATTCGTGTATTTTGAAAACTTGCCGACGACGAAAGGTTGAAATTAGCACAGTAAAGAAAAAAAGGATGACTGGAGCCCCGATCGTATTGCCTTGTTCCGAGCACCGATAGCTTTCTTTTGGGTTCTCCTTTTAATTTCGTCGAACCCCAGAAAAGTCTCTAAGGCGAAAAGAGCAATTTTATCACAGATTTTCCTACCTATTCTTACTTTTTCATTCGGACAACAACAAAAGAGATGAAATGAAAACATTTCCTTAGTTTATTCGAGTCAGAATAAACTTTTTTGAAATTTTTTTAAAACCTTATTCTTAACCTTTTTCCTATTAAGTTATTGCAACAAAGGGGTGTGAGTGCAGGGCCGGACGGCTTTTTCCGGAGCGGCTCACGTCAACCCATCTGGCCCCACACACGTCAGCTTTTAGTTTTCTATGGCATTCCGCGCGTGGAGCCGAACGGGTTATCTGATAATAATATAATATTGATAAGTAGTTTACGCTCCTCTACGTAACTTATGATAACTTGCCTCGGCTCGCCCAATTTTTTCGAAGAGGCTTTTCTTAAAGTCAAAGCATCACAATGAACACTGAAGTGTGATAATACCCTGTAACCATAGCTACATCGACTCTGTTTGTATAGCATCGGGCAACAACAGTGGAAACTAAGAAACTAATACAACAAGGGATTGATGGTGCTATGCTACTATTAAAAATTATCGAGATTTTCTGCGACTAACATAACATCTACACGGCCACTTTCAAGGAAAATTAAAGAAATAAAATCGGAGACGGAACAGAAGTTCTCTGTAAACTTCCTTTAATATCCAATATTGTACAATCATAGCAAACAATGTGCCATATCGTACAGTGTAGAGAGGGGGGAGAGGAGAAAGTAACAGTATTGGCGATAAGATGGACATGCTATTCCATAATACTGCGTTGTCAATGTTAATGACGCGTCAACAACTATGGCGACGGCTGTATACACTCTTCCTAGAGAGTATGAATATTGAATTCTAGGTAGTAGTTTGATACGAGTAAAGCCTTCAGCGATGCTGACTACTTTTGATTTTCTTGTAACTATAACCACCACAAAATGATGCAATGGATGCCAACCACACTTTTTCAATCGTGTCAAGAGAGTCTTAGCTGTGCACACGTATAAATCCAAGGCAGTGCGCCTTGGTCACATTTGCACCACTTTCCATAACCAATAGATAAACGAAATATTGTATTAAATATCTTGGATAGGTCAAAAACGCCAGCGATCTTTAACGAACAATTATCTTTCAAGTCACATGTACGTTCTGTGAAAATTTCTTGCCTTAAAAAAACAATGTCATTTACTTTAAGTTATCGCCTTGGTTACCCCCTCTCCATTCTACTGCATCGATATCTGTGCCTAACGTACCTATTTAACCTCCAAAGTTTAAGTACACCTCCAAAACAGGTCATTTGAATTTTTTCAGTAAAATGCTTTCGATGCTTGCACCAAGTCACTTTCAAATGACCGGGAGTCTTGATTACCCATAATTAATAGTGCTACTAGGACCGAGTGGTGTCCATTTCGTGATTGACAAATCGGACTCCCGCTTTGCCTTCGTCCGAATTTAAAATCACTCGTATGATCAAAATTTAACATTAATCATGTTACCAATTAGTCATAACCATTACAATTTAATTTCCAAAAAAATCAAATACATTTAAGGAAAATATCTCTAGAAGAGACAACTGGAGGGCCTCCAGTTTTTTCAGGATAAGTGGTTGTTGCTATAGCTATTGTGATCAATTCTGTGATTGGCAGATTTAGCTGAATGGACTTAGTATGATTGGCTGATTTAACTTTCCGATCCCAGCCAATTGTCAGATTACACTATTTGACTAATTAGTGAAAAATTAAGCGGCTGATGCACCAATCATATTTGAGGAAATTGTAATAGCTAGATTAAACTTAAGATAGGCGAATGTATTTGTACAAAGTTTGTAAAGTGTATTACTGAAAATGAAAAATGTAGTTCGAAACTGAAAGCGCTGCTCTCAATGTAATGACCTATCACTTTTGGCTACTTTTCGATTTTCCTTTCATTTTGCAATGATTAAAATTAACGTCTTAGCCATGTTCTATTTCAAATTTCCCATCGATTTTGTCATCATTCTACAGCTAAACATTATGATACCGCGAGGCCCTTGTTAAATAGCCCCGTGGGCGTCCTCGCCATCTTAATCTACTTATTATTACATCTGTAATTTTATTTATGGTGAACAAAATAAAATTAAACTCGAACTCAAACTTTCTGGCCACTATTTACTGTCAAACTAGTTTTTTTGGGAAGGTTTGCGTTGATACCGATTTTTTCCCTTCTATATAGACCTCTCTGTTTATTCAGTAGTGTCATAGTCATTCTGTCATAGTCATTCTGTCCATGTTCAAATTGTGTGTAAATCATTCAACAAGAAACTAGGTGTTTTGAAGAGAATTAAGTTTTTACCTAAGTCCACCTTGGAGACTATCTACTTCAAGACCATAATCCCATCCGTCCTATATGGAGTTGCTGTTTGGGGATCATGCTCTTCGGCCTTAATGGAGAAACTTGAGCGTATTCACGCACGAGCTGCGCGGCTAATCTATAGTCTACCGAGGGAAACAACTATAAATGACTTGAGAAATCTTAAGGGTTGGTCCCCCCTTTCCCACTTCTACAC